CCAATAGGGAGTGACACTGGAGGGTCCTGGCTACAGGAAAAGTGCCAGCACTTCAACCTCCCATGAAGTGTAATGGCTATACCACCATGAATTAGCCTTTTGTCTCTGTATGCAGCCCCTTTATAGGGGGTCTCAGGCAGTGGTGGGATTCAAATAAATTAACAACAGGTTCTATATCCTAATGACCATTTTAACTAAACCAAAAGATATACCAAAAGGTAGTTTAATAATTCATGCATTAAATACTGCAATAAGAACAGTAAAAGAGGTACAGACAACTAGATTATGTTTAAAGGAAGATTTTTAATATTAAATATCTTTTAAAATATAATAATAACATTTATTTATGGACTTGTAAGTAGAAGCATACATCTTAGACTCACCCTAAGTACAGAAATCATGGTCCAAAAGGAAATCCTGTTAAAATAATTCTGAAAATATATTTTACAAGATAAAAGGGCTAGCCATTTCTCCAGGGCAGTTTACATGTTAAAAGACTACCTGGAAAGTCTTTGCCTGCCAGAGTCAAGACTGCATATATATATCTCATTATTATCTGGGCAGCCATTTTGCCTATTAAGGTCTTTTCTCCACAGGCTGATGTAGTATAAAATCCCCGAGGGTGGAAATCTCTCAAGAGGACTCACCTCTGCTCTGCTTCTGCAGTCCCTTAAGTAATGGTTAACAGTCCCTTGCTGCCAGACCCATTCTACATATCTGTATTTCATCATATGCAAAATTACATGTCTGTTATATTTTTTAAAAAATCCTATGAACAAAAAGAAGCATACTTACTTGAAAGTAATCTCAAAAATGAAAGCTTGAAAGCCAGTCTCATCACTCCAGTCCTCTGAAGATGCCAGCCACAGAGACTGGCTGTGGTCAAGATGAGCCTGAATGTCTATTGATATGTTTATGGTGTGTTTTCCTTTCTTGGCCCTGGATAACTTCTAACAGAGTGGGTCATCTGTATGCCATTTGTCTCCTGAAATTGTCAGTTTTGTGGCAGGAGGAAGAGTTCTTTGTTATTCTAAATGAGGCTTGGAGGTTTGTGTGTGTGATCTCTTTGTGGTGTGATTTTTCTATTGCATACCTTGTGGGGATCAGTGAGACTGGTTCATGCATTGGATATTCTCTGAGATTAAAAAAAAACCTGTTTCAAGCCAGAGCAACAGTCTTATATGGTACCTTTAACTTGAAAAAAAAATCATAGTAAAATGAGGATCGTTGGGTGTTTGACTGAAGTGGTCTCACCCCAGAACTTTTTCCCTCTGTGTCCTGCCCTCATGCCTTGTCAATTACCCCCCCCGCCTCGAGACCACGGGCTTTCCCCCAGTGACGTCAAGGACTCATCCTCCCCCCTTTCCCCTAGTGATGCCTCTGCTCTTTCCAGGGCTTTATCTCTCTCACCCACACCCCACCTCCGACAGCTCAGTGTGGCACAGGAAGGGAGGCAGCTAATTGCACCCCTCCCTCCAACTCATCGCTGGTCACCTGGCCTCTCCCCCTTCATTCATCTCAGGCCAGCAAACGGTTCTACAAACCAATAGTACATTTAGGAATCGGTTCTATAGAACCAGTACAAACCTGCTGAATCCCACCTCTGGTCTCAGGGTACTTCATGGCACAAGCAAATACACTGTGATGTCTTCAGTTATTCATAGTTTCTTATATCTTTTGGACTAGAAAACTAAACTTAGCTGCTTCTGAACAGGCCAAGATATTAAATCAATGTCAAACCATGGCTTAATATTCTGGATTGTTCTAAAGCTGGTAACAATCATTTCCCAGATCAAACAGTAAAGGATACAATGCTTCTGAACAGGCCAAGATATTAAATCAATGTCAAACCATGGTTTAATATTCTGGATTGTTCTAAAGCTGCTAACAATCATTTCCCAGATCAAATAGTAAAGGATACAATGCTTCTGAACAGGCCAAGATATTAAATCGATGTCAAACCATGGCTTAATATTCTGGATTATTCTAAAGCTGGTAACAATCATTTCCCAGATCAAATAGTAAAGGATACAATGAATAATTCAAGATACCCATGGTGCTAACACCATGAAGGGAGCATCCAAAAGTTCGCATGTACAAACAAAAAGTTTTTTGATACGATATTTTAGGCATACCTATCAATGTGACAAAGTAAGTCATCATACAGTACATCCCAGTAAATATTCTGGGAATATTCCATGTTTTGTTATTGCTGAAGAGAAATGGATATTCCTGAGCTGGAATGGAAGTCTACTAATACTAATACCGACACTGACAACAATGCTAATTATATGTTTTTACATATCATTAAGCGGCATCCAACAAAATAAAAAGTGGAAGAGGAACAAGTAGCCCCCTCTTAGGCAGCCAGTTGGAGAGAAAAAACCTGCCCGAAGAGAAAGGTCTTTGCTTGCCTATGGAAGGACAGTAAATGGAGGAAGGGGCTGGGTTGGGGTGCTGTGCTGTGGGAGGGAGTTTCACATCCCAGGAGCAGTGACAGAGATGGCTCTCTATCATGTCCATACTAAATGCACTTGGAAGGGTGATGAGATGGAGAGAAAACCCTCTCCTGATGACTTTAAAACTAGGCTCATAAAGGGAAATGTGGTCTTTCAAGTAGCTTTAACCAAAATTGTTTGAGGCTTTATAAGTCAAAACCAGCACTTAGAATTGTGCCCAAAAATGGACTGGCAGTCAGTGAAGCTTTTGTAACGGGGAGTTACATGATCTGTGTAACCAGACCCATTAACAATCTAGCAACAGTATTTAGAACCCAGTGAATTTTCCAATCACTTTCCAAAGGCAGCCCTACATACAGTAATTGGCATGATAAGTAACTAGGAATGGGTAGAGCTGGCACAGTAGTTTTAACTGTGCAAATGCACTCCCAGCCACTGTCGAGACATTTTTAATCTTATATTTTGTTGTGGTTTTCATCATGTTGTAAACCACTCAGAATAGTGCATTGCACTAATCAGGCAGTATATAAATTTAATAAATGAATACATAAATGTATAGACCTTGGAATCCGTACTCGGGGATAAAACCAAGAGCACACTCAAGCTGCAAACATATGTTTTCAGGGGAGTGTAACCACATCCAGCACAGACTGAAACTGCATTTCCTGATGTGCCTGATCAGGAGCACTTCTGTCTTGCACAACACACTCCAATACCTTGTCTAGCTTCAGTTTATGTAGAATCATAGAATAATTGAGTTGGAAGAGGCCTCTAATACCATCGAGTCCAACCCTCTCCTCAGTGTAGGAATGCAAATCAAAGCAGATCTAACAGATGGTTCTCTGATTTTCTCTTGAATGCCTCCAGTGTTGGAGCATTCACCATTTCCCAAGGTAATTGGATCCAGTGTTGTACTGCTCTAACCGTTAAGACATTCCTCCTGATATTCAGCCTAAATCTGGCTTCTTGTAGCTTGAGCCCATTATTATGTGCCCTGCCTTCAGGGATGATTAAGAACAGATCCTGCCCCTGACAAAAGATATAGAACTGAAATTCCAAGGAATGGAAAGGAAAATGGAAAGTAGAGATAGAGTTGGATGTAATCCACATATTGATGATACCAAGCCCCCAAACTCAATGAAATCTGTCCCAGCGGTGTCATATATATGGTAAATTGCATGGGGGATGCAAGAGAACCCTGAGGGGTACCAAAGTTCAACAGCCGAGACATTAAAAAGCACTCTCCAGGACCACATTCTGAGTTCTCTCCTACAAAACAGAGCTGAACCAGTGTATCCAGTCCAATCACAGAGAGATGGTCCAGAAAGATACCATGATCTTGAAGCTCACTTAGAGATCTGGTAGAGAAACAGGGATATACTCCCCCTTTCCAGGTCCTAGTGTAGGTCATTCACCAACGTGACCAAAGCAATCTCTGTCCAATAGCAAAGCCTGAAGGAAATTAAAATGGATCTACATAATCTCTCTCATCCAGAAACTCTTAGAGCTGAGAAGCCACCATACACTCCAATACCTTTCCTAGGAACTGAACATCTGAAACTGATTAGTAATAATCCAATACCATGTTACCTAGTGTTTGTCATCTATGATCACATCTTTTAGTCCCATTAATTCTACACTTTCTAGACTTGCCACATTCCAATACCTTTATTATTTTTCACCATTCATCTAAAAGTCATTTTTTTAAAAAACCTCTCTCATCCACTCTCCTTTTCTGTTAACCCATATACCTGTTTTATCCCAGATGAATCATGCACCTTTTCACAGTTCAGCAATAATTAATAATGGAAAGGATTAATTTTTAAAATTGTAATAGTTCAGCATACCATTATTGATCTAACTATCAACAGGCTGATTACAACAAAGAAAAAAATGCAACTAAAAGTAAGAAATATGTCTCATTACTGAGCCTTTCAGTGCTACATTCATACATTTATATAATGGCTGGAGATCAAAGCAGTAGCACAAAATTAATGAAGGAGCCAAATCTCCCATATACCAAAAATGAGAATTCTCTTTGAAAATAATCTTCTTAGATGTTTAGTATAGAGTATTTTTTGAAATGTAGAGTTCAATTGGGGTAGGACTATTTGGAAATTTGAGGTATTTAAAAATATACACACTGAGCAATGCAATCCAGAAATACAATGATGGAAATAGGCTAAAGGGCCAGAATGTAGCTAGCATTCACTGACATCACTCTGAGCTATATTGCCTCTCAATTTAGATGTTCCACTTAGCTGGTTAACAACAGTTCATAGGTCTAGCATGCACCTCATAATCTAAGATGGTAGCTAAAATCATGTCCTGCAGAAATGAATTCTTCAAGTTAACTGCAGATGAATGGTGTGCCTGCCCTGACTAAATGGGTTCATTTACATAATCCTGAATGTTACTATTGAGAAAGAATTAGACTGCAGTCCTATACTTGCTACCTGAGAGTAAGCCATAATGAACTCAATCAGATTTATGGGTGGACATGTAGGATTACAATGGAAATTATTAATATAACATACTTACTCTTGTTTAGAATCAGCATCACAGTTGCAGTAGTATCTGGGATCAGTGCAGTTGCGTTCAATGCCACAGGCACATTTTTGAATGCCTGGCCCAGAGCCACCCCAATAGTAGTGCTTTTCATTGGCACGTCCAATCCACCAGGTATATGGATTACCATCTGTAAGGAGAAGAAATGAAAAAATAGTTACACAAAATGTAGATTTTAATGACATGTTGGGGGGGGGATTCTTTTATTATGGACTGCCCCTCAGGAATAATTAGGCAAATCTTGAAAAGATATACCTTGCCAAATGTTGTTAGAACTTTTGTTCCAATCATATGTACATAATCATTAAAAACAAATTGTATTATACTTGCATTTATTTTTTTAGAATGTGGTATGTGTTTTTATGATAAGTGACAAAAAATATACTACAATTTTAAAGCCCCTAAAGCCTGATGACTCAAACCTTTGTGTTCAATGTGAGATTCATAACAGCAAATGGATCATTTAAACAATTTTCACTGAGATTTACTGGGCCCTTCAACCCTATTCCACAATGGAAAGGTCTGTGGAATCAAACATATAACAAATCTACTTTGTATGACTGTTGTGAAAACAGGAGCCCAGACTTGCTTGGGCACCCCAGTTGCTGCCAAGAAAAGCTCACCTAAGCCAAGGTACCAGAACAGGCATGGCACCGGCCATGTGGTCTAGTGGATGGGGGAAGGAGAAGCTAGTAGAGGCTGCCCTAGCAGCCCTGATTGGCTAGTGTCATGGTTTAGGTTATTGAAGCTAGAATGTAATTTCTAAATGGGATTTGTAGTCATACAATGGTGTAGAAGGAATCCATCTTGGTCTGTGTCATTTTACTAGAAGCCTCGAGAAGCTGTTTGTGTCTTGCAGCTAGTAAGAATGTTATCATGTGGGTAGTGTGGCCGAGATGAAGACGAAGAGCCGAGCCATAACATCCGTGGAGGAATGTCAACAACACCTGCGAGTCTCATGAGAAAAGGAGGTGGAGAGAGATGAGCATGCCTTCGTCCTGATTGGTGTACGTCAGTGGAGAGTGAGAAGGGGGGGTGTTCCAGCATGAGAAGAAAATGGAGGAATGCTGACACAGAGACTTTTTTGTGCTTTATGGATTTTTGGACTTTACCTTGGATTATGGATTTTTGAATGGACTTTGTAGTTACTATTGATTTGCTAGGATGTAGTTCATAGTAGGAGAATAGAAAGGGAGGCTCAGACCTACCTATTCTTTTAGCTAGTAGTTTTTTATTTTATTTTTGGTAGCTGGGATTTGCTAAATTTCTAACTACCTTAGTAATAGAAATGTTTTTGAATGCTATGCTTTGCAACAAACTGAATTTATTTAAATCTTTATTTTTCTAATAAAACAATAATACTTAAACTTATGCTTGGTCTCTTGAACAGATAACCTGCTACCATACTTATTTTGTTTTTCTTTAAGGCCACAAATTAAGCTACTTTGAGTTCAGTATTTTCCTGAGTTTTGGGAGTTCTCGATAACTCATGATTTCAACTTGGTTTCTCAGTGGTTTTTAAGTGGGAATAGACTTGGTAGAAGGGTGCCAGTTACACAGCCCGGTTGAGACAAGGACTCATCTCAACTTAAATAGGGGTGAACTGGACTTGGAACCTCTCTATTCCAGCTTTCAGCATTCTCTTAGGAGAGCTGATTGTTACAGCTAGTGAGGAGTGGGACTTCCCTGCTAGCCTGGTTTGGCTGGCAGGGGGGATCCAAAAGGTGCAGGGGGACCGGAAAAGGAGGATTTTCTCCCTAGTCTTCTGGCCCATCTTAAAAGCGGTAAGCACAGCCACCCATCATGCAGGCTGTTACTCACCAGCACCCATCTCCTTTCTTCTTCCAGAAGAGAGCAGGGAGTTCATTTTCATCCCAGAATGCCTCCAGGGTGGCTGTTCTGGCTGCAGGCTGGACAAGTTGAGCAGGGAAAGACCAGGTGCATTCCCAGAAGCAGGAGGAGCACATATCCTGGCAGAGCTGCGGCAGCCAGCTTGGAGGTCAGCAAGTCAACAGGCACATGAGGGAGAGTGGACATTGATCTCCCAATCAATTGATTGGAGACTGGGTGAGATAACAGGCCAGGGAATAGGAACAACAGCCAATCAAAAGCCCTACTGTACAACTGATAGAAGGAACAGATCAGCTTCTGGCTTTACCAAGGGCTCTGGGACTTGGGAATGGGTGGCAGCTGCAGTGAGAGGGGTGGTTGGAAGCAGTATTGCCCCTTTTTTCCAGTGCAGCATGCCACATGTGTGCTGGGGAAGCCACAGGACGACACATCCCCACTCTCAGGATAAGAGACCTAAGGCACTCCATTCACCCTGCATCTCCACCTTTTAACCCCACCTTCCCAATCATTCAGATACTGAGAGTACATTGAGCGAAACCTCAGATTTTGAGGAGAAAAGTTTTTAGTATGGCAGCACCTAGAATTCCCCAGCAACAAGGAAGTATGTGAGTTCTAGACATAAAAGTAAAGTTATTAAACTCAGCTGGGAGGCACAAGGTAGTTACTTCAGCAAAGAAGGGTCTCATTTAAAATGCAGAATTCCCTAACCTAATCTCTTGACCTCAAGGGAAACAAAAACAAAAACAAAAAACAGAGCTCACTGGCTATAAGTATGCCTGGGGCCATACTACCTTAAACACTTCTTTTATTTTTACTTATACAGTACGTGATTTATGTATGGTATATATATATGACTATAGAAGAAAGCATTGGTTTATGGTGAGAGGAAGAAATTAGGAGTAGGAATGATGGTACAAAATATAGATAAGGAATGGCAGTTTAATATACAGAAATTAATAATTTCAGGATTTCAGAGAATAAATGAACATCTTTACCAGATAGAAAATTTGATGAAAGAGAAATCATCAGATGTTGAAATACAGCTATGTAAAAAGGTAAACATTTCAGAACAGCCTCCACTGAGTAAGGTACCAAGCAATATAGATGGGGTAAAGAGCCATCTAGTGATCCATTCAAATACTGCAGTCAGAAAATGTGAGATTGAAAAATTGATGGTTGTGCCGGATGCATCCTCCTCTCTCAAAAATTGGAAGAAAGCAGAATTAGGGAAACAAGAGGAGTCTATTGAGAAAGTAGGGAATGAGAAAGAAATAGATAAGGACTCAGATGTGCTTAATAGTTTTTTAAGCCAAAAGAATTTAATATACAAATCGAGATGGGTCTCAGACAGTGTCGGAATAACATAGATGTAAATTAAAATAAAGTTGTAAGTGGATAGTAAGTGGGCAAATGAATTACAAACAAAAAAAGAGTTGAGAATTGTTGCCTTGCAATATGATTTGATTGGATGATGGCATATTATGTGTTCTGCTATCCCCCCCAATCCTAACCCCTTCCCACCCTTTCACCCCTTCCATCCCCCCCACTGCCTTTTGCCTTTTGTATTCCTTCCCCATTACCCACTCAGCACCTAAGCAGGCTCAGGCTTGGTTAGCACTCGGACGGGTGTCCATGGGAAATAGCACCAAAAAAATTAAATAAAAAGGAGCAGGAGGCAGACAGAACCACATCATTCATCACCTAGTAGAAGTTCCAGGAGCCTGCTGTTGCCCTGGAGTACTCAGTACCAGTCATTTATTCCTTCTGATATTTAATTATTTATTTAAAATAATTTTAGCCATATTTCTGCTTAAGAGAAAGCCACGGTGGCTTGCATCATTGAAATGCAATCTATAAATCCAAAAACATTAAAGGGATCAAATTACTATATATAAAATATATACATATCTTAGCCTAACCGTAGCCATCTTGCTTTCTGTAGCTTGCTTTGCTATATGAATGTGTAAACCACTTATATTAAGTTTTTACTTAAGCAGGCAAGAATGAACAAAGAAGGAGGTGTTCATTTGAGTTTCTTTCACTTTACAATTAAAGTATTTCTAATTTGGAAAGTTGTCCTTGGATAGGTCCAGGCATCTGACACAGAGGAATGAAATGACATGGAGGACACAGAGCACATGCAGGAACTCCTACCGATTACAGAATCTCCTCCCATTTTTCCTCCTCCTCCCAACCTCCTTAGCCCCTCTTTCATGTTTTGCCTTATAAAGATGTATACTTTTTGTATCTGAGGCACACTTCACTTGTTTTCTGCTAGTGAGGTTTGCGTCTATTTGCTTGCTCTCAGCTGAAAATAAACAAATATCTATTGGATCTCTCTGTCTCTGGCTGATTGATTAATGCATTAGAAACAGGCAAAAAGTCAGAAATTAGTTCTGGCTCCCTTCACCAGTCTACAGATACTTAAAAATCAAAAATCAAACAGGTACCACTCAAAACAGACAAACAAGGGTGACACCAGAAATGCACGCAGAGCGGTAGGGCACAACAGTCCATTTGAAACCCTGCTTAGGCAGCCAGTCTCTAATGGAAAACTCATCTGAAGAGAAAGGTTTTTGTCTGTGTGCAGAAGGACACCAGCCTGGCCTCTTGTGGGAGGGAGTTCCACAGTCTGGGAGCCAAATGGACCAGTGAGAGTGGTGGAACTGAGGGCAAAGTCTCTCCTGATGATATCAACACCCAGCCAGTTGTAACTAAGGCATGTGTCTCTGTGGCCAGATCAGACCTCCCAATTAATCAATGTATCTCCTATTAATTTGTGTGGAGGCTAATATAGGATCCAACAAGAGCAGCAAAAGCTTTGCTTTTCACTCAGAAGTGGGGACCTTATAGTGTATTGCACCCAAAAATTCAGTAATATTCTCCTTGTTTTTATTTCTCTTAAAAAAAGTAGTATAGTGGCTGTTTGGCAGCAGTGCCCTTTTATGATAGTTACATGACTGGACAGTGTTCTGAAACATTTCAAAGTTTCCTGCTAGTATTTCTAACCAGTTTTCTTCCACCCAGTATCCTGTCCTTTTCAGCTGGGTCAGGAGCCTTGTGATGAACTAGCTTTTAATTTTTCAACACTGGTGTTGTTAATTTAAACCAAAGCAGCAGCACAATTTATCAGCATATTAATAGCCACTGACTTCAGTGAAATGTCGTATAGGTACGTTTAGGATTGGTTTGTAGTTTATACTGTTGTTTGGAATTTCATTTGTACTGATGTTTGGAAATAATAGGATAAGATTCATGAATGAGCAGCAAAGGCTCTCA